CGGCCTGAACCTGCAGGAGCAGTGTCAAAAGGGAATTGAATGATCCCATAATGGAATATATACCATATACAAATGAATATACAAACTATAAGTGCATGCAATGCATGATCTTTTTTGGACTCCCAACCTCTGCACCGTAGAAGTCAGTCTCGCCCACCATTGCAGGGCAACAGAGGTCATGTACAACCCACAAAAAACATATGCATGCTTATACTTTGACATTGGCAACCACAGCCAGTTGACATTGTTGCGAGATGCACAAATGGACTCTTAGAAAATGACATAAGATCAGTGGCTGGCTTTACACGCCAACTCTTGTCATGCCAATTCTTGCCAGCTTCACGGTCCTGATTGGTCCAGAAAAAGCTCTTGCAGACATCACCCTGCACCAAAAAAAACGCCTGCAAAGAGCACCTTAAAAGTATAAAATGATCATTGCCAACACATCTAGGATCCTGTTGGCCACCTTCGTGCTCCATGATTCAATCTACAAATTGTTCTTCAAAACCATTCACCTCATGACCATTCCTTTGGAATACTGTGTCATTCTGTCAGAAAAAACAAGTTCAGCCCCTTGCAAGAAATCCAGACCCTGGAAAGGCAGAGGCGGTTTTTTGCCAAAAGTACTGAAATAATGCATACCTCAGAAGACCTAGGTACACATAATAGGCCGAGATATATTGGGAAGTTAGATGGAACTTGTAATACTCTGAACTGGTTTACTGGGGAGACATCCGGTGAATGTTGAGTACACAGTCGTTTGTTCGCAAGGAGGCTTTCTAGGCTGTACATCAGCAAACAATGGCATGCCCTGTCCTGCCCACCCTCCAAGAAAAACCATTCCAACAGATTCAAAATGTCTTCCAAAGACTTGATAGATATTTGTGTGCTTTCCGTTCCAACATCTCTGGGATCCCAAGCAAAGGTGAACGGGCCAATCATGGCCTCCTCTTCCACCGTCTTTGCTTTGATCGCATTGGGCTTTGGGTACCTCACGGACGCCTCCACACCGCGGTCATCTCTAAAACAACCTGTTTTCGGAACACGAAGCACAGATGTTTGTGTGTGTTCCCAGTGTGTCAGGGTCCAAAGTTCAAGGCAACCACCCCAATTCATGAGCAAGCCCTCACTGATTGGCTTGACATGGAGACTGGCTGAATGTGTTCGCCAAGATATGCCAACGCGAGAGCTTCAAAGCAACACACTCGGTTTAGCCCCTGGGTTTACCCCGGTTTAGCCCGAGGCACAGGATCCAGATATATAGCATTGATGTCCCCCACATAGATAGAACAGTACATTCCCTCAACCAAAAATGTCTTTGACACCAAGACAACGATCCATTTGGTGTCTTGTATATGAACAAACCATCTCAACCCTCCTGTGGTAGCCAGTCGTTCCTGGCCGAAACGGGTGGACTATCATCCACCGGTCACCATCGACCATCTCCCCTTTCCTCGCCGGTCTCGATCTCGACGTCTCGAGCACCAGAATTCCACCGGCTCGGGCATCGTGACGGTGGGCTCCTGGCGTCAAGACGACAGGGAGCCCCACCTCTCATACGGTTGGTTTGGCCTGGAAAAGCCAATAGCGGCGGCCTCCACTAGCGATGGCCTCCAAACACAACATCGGATAGTTCTTGATATTGGTGTCTTAGGGTGCAGCAAGTGACGTGGAACAGGAGCTTTTAAGTGAAGGGTTTCCCCGAATTTCAGCTTCCTAAGTGATTGAGGATGCCGAAAGAACTGGACACCCCCCTAAGTCAGTACAGTAGTGGAGAGGAATTTGGGGGAAGAAGCTGAGTTAGCTGAGCTTTCAAACAAATAACTACATGCGTTGCATGTCATGTCTGTGACTATAACATAAATATATATATATACACGTAGATGTTGGTATCCAACGTTCCACACCCATCTGCGCCTGAAGTTGCGCTTGGATCTGCAGGACCATCCTGGGCGGCATCTAAACCCACGAGTCACCCCATCTTCGGATGGATGAAGAAGACACAAAAACCGAAATTCGACGAAGATCGAAGGAATTCCGAACTTCGAGATCCCCAAAGATCGCGGGAAAAAACATATCGATATTGGCCAAAAGTTAGTCACACAGATCTCACCGAAAGTCACACGCTCTTGGAAAAGAAGAGGAAGACAGCACACAATAGAGAATAGGATTTCCGCGGAAAAACAACAGCTGGTCATAACGGGTCACCGGCATGGAGTTTGTTTTCCCATGACAGTCCACCTTTCACTCCCTTTCCGTACCCGCTGACCTGAAGCGCAACACCCACATGCTTGACCTGTAAGCACTCCCGTTCTGAAGCAGAACACCAAGCAGTTCCGGAATACGAGAACACCGGTCCAAGACCACGTCTGAACCGGATCCCCGTCGTCCCCGTCCGGGCGTACCGGGTGGTCCTCGACGCTTGGCCGCGGCCCCCTGGGCTCCCGCGCTCGCATTCCGGGCCGAGGCCTTTGGGCGCTTTGGCCACTGGCAGCTGTTGCCGAGCCCTGGCGAGACCGGACGTGGTGGGGTGGGGGTGGGTGGGCAGAGTCGGTGCGGACCAAGGACTTCGTACGGAATGAATGAATGACCCTTCGATGTTTTTGTGCTTTTTCGCCGTGGGTTATCATAGGTTATTCTGTAGGATTCATGCCTGCATGCTAGTTCATCAGCATGGATGTAAATCCCTCATGCAACCTTTGCATGATTCGGCAGGTCAATGTCACCTTTGGGGTGGTAGCATGCTACCCACAGCTGTGGGGGGAGCGGGCTACCGGGATGCGGGCCACGTCCCGAAAGGGTATAGAATGGGAGGAAGCAAATCTCTGAGCATTCACCTCCATGCACTTGTTCCTAGTAGCTTCTTGTTACTACTAGTAAGGCACTTGTTACTAGTAGCGATGCACTTGTTCCTAGTAGCGATGTGCAAACAGTCTCCATGATGGGAAATTCAAACCAAAACCGTTCAATCAAGCTACTGGAACCGTTGATGGCCATGGCCACTTTGGACAAACATGATCATCTGCACCTCTACTTTTTGGTGAAACACCCGGGCAAAAAGACCTTATGGAAGACGACGACAACAACAACAACAACGACAACAACAACAACAACCACAACCCCTACAAATCCAATCACCTTCTCAGAAGGTACTTGGACCCTCCAAACCTACATCACAGTGTCTCCGTCCTCACCGTACCTGAGAAGGTACGACTGGATCCCTACAAAAACCACACCCACCAGTCACACGGGTCACCCCGACTCTCTTCCCCGACCACCTCGTGGCCGTCTGTTGCAGCTCGCCGGGCGGCATCTTGCCCAGTGCTGCATCCAAGCGTTCGAGCGCATCGCCTGCGGCGTGTCGGGCGACGTTCGTTCGCTTCGGGTCCGAGCACCCGGCGGCTGAAGGTCGGGGCGGAGCAGGTCAGATGCATCAGATTTCGCCAATCTGGCCAGAACACTCAACCGATTCTTCCAATCAACCGATCATTTGTTTTCGGGTTCTTTCAGACAGGTTTGTGAAGCAAGCATGGTTTCAACTATATAGTTTTTATTTCGACAGTGACGCAAAGGCCTGGATTGGGGGGGCTGTTCAAAACAAAAGCGTCTGTCGCAAACCGACTACCCCCTGGATGAAGGCCTTTTGAAGTTGAGGGAGCCCTGATAAGAGTTGGTTCCAGGACAGGTTTCTGTCACAACCCAAAAAAATCTGAAAGCCACCATGTGATGAAAACACTTTAAAGGTAAAGCAAACACCGACTTCTGAGCCACTTCCCGAACTAACCCCACCCCTTCGTTGCGAATGGCCGGGGGAAACCTTCCATTTTTCACCAATCCACCCCAAAAGGCCGCTCCAATGCAGTCGAGTTCGGGTCGATCCGTTTGCTCGTGATCAACTCCTTGGGCCCCAAGCCGATGATCGTCCCCAACCTTGGATGGCGTTTTTGATGGTTTGGAGGCACACTGCCGGGGAAGAAGTGTCTTTGGTGGACAGAAATCCAGTTCTCTCCACACCTGGCGGCAGATCTTGGCATAGTAAACACTCGACTCAATCTTGACTGAGATACATCGACTTAATATTTATATATATATATATACATATTGACATCTGTGTGAATATATGCCGACGTTCCACCCCCCAAAACGACCAGAGTACCAGAGGTTTCTGTGCAATTCTTCTTTGCATCACTTCAATTGTTTGTAGAAGAAACATGACATCAAGTATACATATATACATATGTGAAAACACTGGCAGCCGGCCGACTCCGATCGGCCAACCACACATGGGCGCACCTTTTGCCGGCTCCGGCCGAAACGGAAGTCCCTGCGGTCGAACGACGTGGCACCTGAACGACAATGGTGGCATGCATTGAAGCTTTTGCACTGGTTCTATTTTCTTCTGTCTTTTAAAGATAGAAGTGGAAGAAGGTATGCATTTCAATCTACTACTTCTTGAAGGTGCGATGCACGTCAGTTCCTGGGATACAAGGTCCATCCCATGCAAGATCACGAGCGATGTCTCGCTCAGCCTGGAAACGGACGAGGAAGCATGCTAAATCGTGAAGTAGTCCGGTCGAGGACTTGGCTCGGGCTTTGACCCACTTCACATACGATACGGCCCGGTCATCGGTCGCCGATGCAAGGTCTTCGTAGGACCATCCGGTTGCCTTATACTGTCCAAACTGGATGAGGGACTTTCCCCACTGCTCAAGGGACGAAATGTCCTCAGGAATGTCCGGCAAGCCTTCGACATGGGTCGACTTGGGCATTGGCGGAGGCATGTGACTTCCACCTGCATACGAAGTCAACCCTGGCGGTGAGGTTGGTGGTGTCACAAACTTCGGATAGGCAGAAAGGCCTGTTCCTCCTCGCTCTCGCTTGGAATTAGGGACACACGATGAATCATCTTCACGGCGCTTGGAAGCATCGGTCATTGCTGCCAATGGGTGCTCAAAAGGAATCAAACTGAAACCAGAATCCTGATCATCGCTGTCTCTGACCTTGGTTCCCGAATCTTCGAGGCTCAGGGACGGTGGAACACCTCCTGCGGACGCCTTGGTCAGCAGGCGTTGGAGCTCGGCATGCTCTTCTGGGCTAAGTGACATGCTGTCCAATGAGCAGTCACACACAAAATGAAACACACACAGTCGATTTGATGACTTGATCCACAAACTCTAAAAGGGCACAAACCGGCAACTGTTGAACAGATTCACGAAAGCTCTTCTCAACTGTTTCTAAAGTCATCACAACTTGCACTGAGAATTTATCTTTCACAAAACATATTATTGATTTACAAAGCGCAAAAAACATGCAGGTGCAACCTGTTGGAAGGCAAGCAAACTCAATGACCCGAACAGTCTCCCTTGACTTATTCATTACATTCGAGAAAATGGCTTATCTTTCACAAGTTAATTTCCGGAGCTGCTATTCTTTACATTCTTGCGGCGCTCTCTTTCTTCAGCTTGTTGTTGAAGTACGGTGTCTTCAGGGGCAATCTGGTATGTCCCTTGGCGCACACAAGACCTGAGAAGGTCAGCAGGCTCTTGTCGATCCTTCGTGAGGCCATCGGCCAACATCCAACCAGTTGGAAGCCATCTTATTGCTCCTCCTGTTAGTTTCAAAGATTCTCGCAAAATCACAATGTCTATACTCGTTCTACGGTCGTCAATGGCTGTGGGTGATGATGGAGAAATCAAATGATCATACAGGCTCTTGCAGTCTGTGGCTAGGATAGGGGACCGTTTGAGGATCAACATGGGAGGTCTCTTCTGAAGCAGTTCTCGAGCATTCCTGGCCTGGAACGGACCGTCAAGGGTCTCCGACAGCAAAAGCGAGAGCCATTCAGCTGTGCCACTTGCGGTGGCCATGGCCTGACTTTCACCTCCTAGAGTAGAGCTCACTGCTCGTGGCAGACGATAGCTCTTCCAGGTCACCGGGGTCCACGGAGACACCTTACCCTGATGCAAATCCTTATGAACAAAGGCTAGTATGTAACCTGCTTGAGTGTGACATCCTATATTTGCAAATGCTGCGTCCGAGTGACAACAGATAGTCAGGGCTTGTGGTTCGATGGATCGGAAACGGATACTCAGGTCCTTGAATTGTTTTGCCCTTCTGATCGCATTGTTTGCGTTTCTCAAGTGCTGGATAGTCGGATTTGGGAATCCTTGCTGACAGAAACTAGTCTGACATGCTAGATCTGGCCTACTCTGTGAGGCTATCCAGTTCAGGCTACCGTTGATGGCTCTGAGAACTCGAGTCTGTTGCTCGTTCAACTGCTGTGTCGGTGGAACTCCCTTAGGAATGGTGGCGGGCCTCATGCCTTCGGCGAAGCTCTGCTGGGACATGACTATGTCGAAGCTTCTTGGGTCTTGTTCGTACATGGCTCCACAAAACTCACCGCTAGACACGCGCCACTTTCTGTAGGGGAATCTCTTTTTCAGCTGAAGGACCGATTGTTCAAACCTTGTGCCACTACCTCCTACTGCAGTATCATCAACATGAACTCCGAGAATACCTTGGAGATCACCGGTGTGTGGACAACGAAGAGTATAGAGGCACGGATCCAGAATCGATCTCGACCAACCTGCGTTGAGTGCCTCTCTATCGAACGTTGTGTGCCATGCCCTCGGGGCGTCATTCTGTCCGTAGAGGTTACCGACGATCTCTATCACAATGTCCTGTTGAGACAAACCGGGGATTCCACCTGGTGGCAATTCGGCATACAAGGGTCGAAACTTCTCTGGAAGCTCTCCTGCTTCTAGGAACGCACCCTTGATATCGCCGAGCTGTAGCGTCCACTTGTAGGAAGCAATGGTTTGCATTAGGACCATTCTACCGAGCTGGCTGAGCGTCGGCGATTGCAAGAGGCCTGAGGCAGCCTTTTCAGCTAGGTCGGGATCGAGGTGACCCTGCAAGACCCATCGGCTCTTCACTTTGAACGTGCTGGGATCATTGACATCCACATTTACGCCATCTTGGACTGCTTTACGAATGATAACAAAGCGAGATCCTATGAATCGATGGGCGTGTTCAGCACGGATCAGTCTAGCCTTCTTACCGAAATGCAATCTAATGGCCCCTTTATCCTTGATCGTACTCCATTCTTCGGACTTGGATTCGTCGATGAGCTTCTGAAGTTCCGGTGGATTCTTCGTGGGGGACAGTTCTTTACTCAACCTTTTCTGGATGTGGGCAGCAATGAGGACCTCGACACTATCCTGAAGACACTCATGAACCTCTTCGACCGTCAACACTTCATCATGACGAGCTCGATTGGTCGCCGGTTCATCGGCAGCAGTCGAATCTGGTGACAGTGCTCTCTTCTGTCCATGCTCCATGCTGATGTCTGTCGTGCTGGGCTGTGATTCTGGTTTACCTGAAATGGCATCCTCTAACAGTTGTGGAAGTGCTTCTTTGATTATTTCAACAAAGTCATCTTGACGGAGCACGGGCGGTCTGTACAACGCAGGAGCGCCGGACTTGGAATCAACTCTCCTCCGAATTGGTCCATAGCTACTGCTTGACTGTTTCTCTTGATCAACATGGGAATCGACTTCGTCTCCGTCCCGGGAGGACGATGATGTAGATGTGCTTTCTGGGAATGAGGACGGCTGGGACACCAGCGGCGGAGGAGAGTCCAACGGTGCTGCAGACTGCGCGGGCATGGATTCTGCCTTCAGGGCACGAATCTGCTCTGACGTTTGGACTTCAGGCATGTTTCCTGTATCCGGCTCTGGTGTCTCAGTATCTTCTTGAGTGGGGTAATGACCCGGAACTAAGTCAATGAACTGATGACTTCGGAAAGTGCCACCTTCTAGCAAGTCCTTAATTCCAAGAAGTTCGGCTTGAGGTGATGTCACCAGAGTCCGCTCTTCAGTGGTCGCTGGCCGTAGCTGTTCGGGTGCACATCGGAAGATTTGTCTTCGGTGAGCAATGACATAGTTCTTACCTATTTGACCAATGATGACTGCAGTACCGTACCACCGACCACCATTTTGAACCATCCCTTGTCCAATGAACTTTTGATTACGCCAGTAGCATACAAGATCACCTGGTGCAAAGGTTATCGTGGCTCGTGGTCGAGCGGCTAGTGCATGTCTGAGAGCTTTGTCGTCTTGCAGTGCAATCACAGCATGTCTGGCACTTGCTCGAATGGACTGAGCTTTGGCGACAGCATCATCGCTGAGACCGGCTGTCCCTGGTACCACATGTAATGGTTCGCTCAACAGGTCGCCAGGCATGGTTGGATTCTTACCAAAAATCCACTTTCGCGAGACTTGGTGGTTTCACCAAGCTTGGGGTTTGAGTTTGCTATTGCTAGTCCTGTATGTGAGAGATCATGGCAACTTCCCATGGTTGTGATTGTGAGAGTGTGCGACCCTCACACATCTCCATGGCTGTGATTGTGAGCGCCTGTGATCATGGCACGCGCACATCCATGGCTGTGATTGTGACCAGACTGCCCGCGTTGCCGGGTTTGCTCCAAGTGGTGAATTTGTGCGCTTTGGTGCCGGCAGCAGTTTCTTTAGTTCCCCAAAGGTTAAGTCCAATAGCCAATAACCTTTGAACGGTAGAATTGTTTTCTGCCCTTACGGCTGATGACCTTACGGCTGATGACCTGCCACTGCACATCGAACAGCCCAGACCTTTGCTTCCCATAGCCGACAGCTTTCTTGAAGGCAGTGATAATGTGGGCCTATTAATAAATTGTTTCCTTAGCAAATTGATCAGGCACCAATTGTTCTTGAGCCAGGAAAATTTAATATGCTTACTAAGAAAAGGGCTAAACCCAAATATGTCTTTTGGTGGTGAATGCAAAAGGGGCTACACCCAGTACATTCTCACCAGGTTTCCCGTGCGCTTGCCTAATAACCAAATGGTGACACGACTTGAAGAACCGGGTTTTTCAATGTGGAACAAGTTCCCATGTATGTATGTATGTATGTATGTATGTATGTGTCTGTATGTATGTATGTATGTATGTGTGTATGTATGTATGTATGTATATATACTATGTATGTCTGGTGTGATAAAGGATGCAACCAAAAGATTCCCACTGGTATCTGCGATGCATGTTCTTTCTCTGCGCAGCCACAAGTCTGTGAAGTTTAAAAGCGCCAAAAACATGGGATTGAAGGCAATCCTGCTTTGAGCTGAAAGCATGCCGTGAGGCACACTGAGACGTGCCTTTTACATTCAATCCACCTCCAACGGCTCAGTAGCCTTGAGGGTATCTGGATTGAAACCATGCTTTGATGCAAGGTTGTAAGATGGGTAAACCTCACCACTCGAAACATGGCGAATCTTTCGCCATTTCTTCCCTTTCAAATCACCGCTCTGTCTTGTGAACTCGTACACCTCCACATGTTTTGAAAACGCAAACAGGGAACTTCCCAACATCAATGACAACTTCCCAACAATACAATGTCAAAACAAACAATGGAAAAAGGTTCATGATGAAGTAAAGCCAAATCGTTTCTACGCAACCCCTGCCTCCCACTCTCCAGAAGCATCTTTCAACATCCGGTCCGCGTTCGGGAACGCTGACTCCGATCCCTCCTTTGGAGGCTTAGGGTCAGACCTAACTCTTGTCTTCTTGGAACCATCAGGCTCAGGAACCGGGAGAGAGCTTGAACTTGCAGGTCTCTTCATCTTTCGCTCCCCTTTTCTTGGCTCAACCAACTTTTCTTGCTCTTTGGATTCCATCTTTGAACCACCATTCTTTTTGGACTCCACGGATCCTTCAGGCTTGGCAGGCTCAGAGCTGTTCGCTGCTGCCGGCCTTTTCATCACAGGAGTATGTCTGGCTGCTGGTTTTTTCAAAGTCTGTTCATCTTCCTCCACATCTGTCTCTTCGAAGACAGATCCCGCGTCAGCAGGCGCCACTTCGACTGACTCTTTCGCTGACTGGTCACCTTGCAGTGGCGACAAAGAGCTACGGACTTTTTCGGGAGGAGTATGCAAAGATTCTGATGAGCCCGCAGCAGCCAAGTTGGCAGCACCACCGCGAGGACCTGCTGCTACTTCAGACTCATTAGACACAGGCTGAGTCAAAGACCGGCGCAGCTGGCATGCCTGGTACGTGCTTTGGATATCTGAAGGGGCTGCTGCAAGCCCTCCAGTCATTCGAAACAAAGCCGCGTTGCGCACTCCAGACACATCGACACTGAGTCGGTCCATTGCCAAATAGCCCAGCGTCCGGCTAGTCACTAGCTGTTGGCTTCTATGCCTCTATGCTCACAAACAAGGAGCTCCCAGAGCAAAACGTCACTGCCAGCAATCAGTTGAATCTCGCGACTCACAGTCCACTACAAACACAGTGAAAGTTGTTTGTCCTATGTCATTATGTTGGCATGTATAAGCATCTGCTAAATAATTCTATTGTATAAATACTTCTGGATAATACCTATGAACTCGGACACTGACATCCACACATTTCTCTGTCATTGGAACCGCTGACATCCTTAATTACCTTCTCGTTTCGTCTCGCAAAAAATGTTTCGTAGTGTCCCCAGCGCTTTTATGTTGGAGGTGGCCTAGTAACTTAGTAGGTGTGCTTGCGAGTTGTTTCCCAGCGTGCCCATCATGCTTGCTGTGGAGGGTTGCTGTGCGGCGTGTTGATCGCATGTGTTCAGAAAAGTTCATGGACGCTTAACTACATAGGGCGACACCAGTGCGGGGCGCAGGTAGTGCGAGGTGTGCGCTGAGTTTTGAATGTCTCAGATGCTCGCTCACTCCTCCTCCGAAAGGTGGGTAGTACTGAGATTGGTGTTATTATTGTAGTTCAAAGCTGAACACAGTCCAATTCTTTTGTTGCCTAAAGCTCAGTGTCAGTCAGTCCAGTTCAGTGCAAAAAAGCTACGCCTCCCTGAAGGCAGAAAAACAGCATTACACATGGTTGACGAGCATTACACATGGTTGACGTTTGTTGAGAAACACATTGTCTAACATCAACTTCAACACGACCACCAACAGCCCTCAGGCTAGGCCACAAGCGTGACAATCAACCGCACTGCACGACCTGCCCTGCTTCAAAATCCACGGCACATCGCAAAATTACGTAAGGCTTCTGTACTTTGACAGTGCCGTGAACTCTCTCAAACCTGAACCGAAAAACCGACCGCAAAGTCGATGAGTTCTTGACTTGGTCGAGGCAGCCGGCAAAGAAGCTCTTACACGACAACTTTGCTTTCGGGTCCACAATGCACTTGTAATAGTGCGCCTCAGAAATGGTCAGCTGGAATCCATCGTTGCCTGTAGCCGCATCGGTCCTTTTGCACTCCGAATACGTCACTTTGTATTGGGAGATTTTCTTGGTTTTCTCCAGCAAAACCAGAAGGCGGTAGATGGTGAGCGTTTCAATCTGAGTGCTTTCTGGCGTAATCGATGCGTGGTCGATTTGCACAAGCGTCCTGTCATTCTCTGGCCATCCAAACTCTACTCCAGGACCCCCTTCCGAGCAAGGATGGTACCTCGCAAATGGGTGGCATGCATGGCATAGCCTGTCAAAACTTGGTATCACCCCAAAAGATTGTGTAAAATTGCACATGGCCGTATGCGTGATGCATGCGACGGCCAAAGCAAAGGTGTAATGCAGGTAATGCATCACAACCCTGGCCCCCGATGAAAAAGCATCAACAACACAAAAAAAAATCTTAGTCTTAGATATATGCGCGCCAAAATGCTTCCCTGTCCCGTATCCGCCCAGCAAAGTCGACTTCGGAACCACACGCTTTTTGTCCGAACACAAGAAGATCTTGCCCGATCGGCACTTTATCAGCTCCACGCCGGACACCTCCGAAGCACATCGCACCTCAATCTCTTCCTTCTCCTTCAACTTGTCAATCGACTCAAAGGTCACTTTGGGCACGGCCGGGCCCGGATCTGATGTCTCAGGTTCCGCAGCGTCTGTCAGAGCTGCGGCTGCTTCCTGCGAAGTGCCAGACACTTGACTAGCGGACTGGCCTGGAGTAGAAATGATCGAAGACAAAACTTGGGAGTAGTTGTCCGTGTGATTCTTCTTGAGCTCTGCAAATGCTTCGGCAATTTCACTGCCAGAGTTTGACCATTGTTTGCACTGGTCCGGATGAATCACAATGGTTGTCCCCTGTCGTACACAAACCTCCAGCTTGAGCTTGTCAATGCTCTGGACACAATCAGCTCCGGGAATGGTCTTCAACTCCTGCGCGAAACAGAACGGCGGAAGCGATAAGTTCACATTGAAATCATTGAACCGTCAGGAACAAAGAACAAGAGCATGTCGCGAGTTTACTTACCAGCCCCACAGCCACCGTTGATCAAAGGCACGAAAGAGGTGTTTATTCTTTCTCGAACAAAGACATTGAGGATTTGTCGTTCCTTTCACTTGGATCCTCGTCAGTCAAGGTAATGTCACTGTCATCGAATTTGTGGCCCTGGAAAGCGAGCCGCTTCGCCAGCCAAGAATCAAGGATCTCCCGGGAAACTCTCATCTTCGCGTACTGAAACCCTGAGTCGTTGTCCAAAGTGTGCACCGACAAGTAGAAGGCCCTGCTGAAATCAAAGCCACCGCCTTCGCCCTGCATCACTCCGCGTAGGCGAAGATTCAATACCTCCACCGGAGGGGTGAGGGTAGTATGGTCTGGGACGACATCCGATGGTATGGTATGGTATTATTGCGTGTACATATTCCTCATGCATCTTTGAGTCTGGGCATTGCGCGCCTTGAGGCTAAAGAACTCGTGCAATCAACAACCAACCAGTCAAGAATTAAGTTTGGTGTGGCCCAGTCTCGGTATTATGTTTGTTTGTTGTCTACTAACCTCTAGTTTGCGCACATCGCCTCTTTGCTTCTCCCGACTTACACCAAGTTCTTTTTGTACTTATTGCTAATCACAGTTGATGCCAAACACAAAACACATAAGGCTTTTTGCGACATAGTCTCAAAACGACATCGGCACGCGAGCACCATTCGCGATGCATAAAAAGAGACGAAGAGAAACAGTGATAGAGAGAAAGGGGAAAAACAAAAAGGAGAGAGAGAGAGAGACTGCGAATGATCTACAGTGCACATTGGAAGGAAAGAAAAACAAAAGCACAGAAAACATTGGGCAAGAACGCGCTCGACGCTCAGGAACACCAGCGCTCTCAAAAAACAATGTCGAACAACCAGTCTTCACTATATGACTGGCCTCTCACCATCTAAGCTTGAATGCTGAAATATTATATATAACAAGTGTATATAGAGTTATAAGTATGAATCCAAATCCAGGCTGAGTAGCTGCGGCACCTACCTCCTCGACGTATCCTGTAAAGTTCACAATCAGGACGGCAGTTTGGCTTCCCGGCATGGGCACATGCCGAAAAAGCGATTCGAGCAATAGCTCGTGCCTCTGACAACCCTTTTGGGCGGCCGACTGCTCAGGGCTAGGCCGTGTTCGCTCAGCCAGCTTCAAGTCAGCGTTCGGCGAAGAGGCCTCTGGGAGCAAAAGCGACGAACTCTTTGGCAGGACAGCGCATGGAGCCCCTCGCTCGGTTTCATTCGCTGCTGTGGGGCGCCCACACACCGCAAGCTCGCTGGATAGCCATATGTTCTTCTCGGTGCTTTGGTGGTTCACAGCGATGCGGCCTGCTCCAAACCGCCGCATGGAAGACCTGTCGACCCTGCGGTCGCGGGTGTACAGGTCGATCCATCTTGACTCAACATTTTGGCGCAGTCCGAAGCAACTTTCCAGGATCATTTTCTCCTCGTCGTACAACCCACGGAGGCTGCTGTCTTTGGCCAAGTCAGGTAGAGTCATCAGCACACAATTGTTGTGCGCAACGCCGGTGTCATTGATCAGGCTGACAGCGTTCACCAAGGAACTTGCTGCAGCTTTCTGTCGGGCTGTTGGCACATTGAAATCTACGATCCCAACTGTGCAGATCTGGTCCAAGGGGCACTCCAGCTCACGTGCCTCGAAAACAGAGAACTACTACGCGTGCTTCTCAAAGACACGACGCATGAACCAAAAGTTTCTGTTGCGATCAACATACCTCCTTGCCAAGAGAGGTCAAAAGGACACAAATTGATGTCGACGTTAAGGTCTCAATTTTGTGCCCTCTTGACCTCTCTTGGTATCCTGGAACACTGCGAGTGTGCAGAGTTTTCGGATGTGTACGCAACAACACACATGCTGCCACCCACCATCCTTTCCAAAACTTGTGTTGTCCAATGTGTTGGAACTACCAATATGTTTTGTCTTGGCCCGCGTGTAACCAACTTACAGTGTATCATGGACCAGGGCACCATGTCCAACTTCATTTGGCTGATCTCGGCGCGCGCCAGGTCCATCTTGTCGGCCGAGACAACGCGAAGGTAAGTGTCCTTCAGTGTCCCCGCAGTCAACATCATACGGAGACTGGTACCCTACATGGATTTAATAACTCTGTATGTCGTTGGAGAAAACTATTTCATGTTTTTGGAGCGCTCACACTGTAACCATCACGCGCACATGCACATAACCCAGGGTCCTGATAGCCCTGGCAAGCTTTCTCAGCAGCTTTCACCATGGAGTTGCGATGCTTCACCTGCTTGGCGTGCAGCCGCTGTCGAATGGCAGCGGGAGCTCCACTGACTCGGGAAATCGCATCATGGTCCTTTGCCAAAGCCGTCTTGAAGTAGGTCCATTGCGCCTCCTGAACTTCCTGGCGCTGCTGGGCGACGGCCTCCATCTTTTCTTGCTCTGCGACTTCCATACTCTTTCTGGCTTGCTGCTGCTGGCTCAGCAGCATTGACAATGAAAAGTTTGGAGGGCGTAGATTCACCAGATGCTGCAAGTCCTCGTCTCGCGAGAGGCCACAGGTCACCTCCTCAATCCACTCTCGCACATCGGATTCATCCAAGCGAGCTCGCAAATGACCCACAATCTGCTGGAAAAAGGCGATGAGGTTCCGGACCCTGAATAGCTCATCCGGAGACATGCGGTATCGTTTCTTTTGGGCCATGGGAACAAGACCTGTCACACGATTGAACGTTGTCCGCACCCTTCTGAAGAGAAAGAATTGCCCTTCCTCTGAAAGCTGGAGGTCCCAGTCCAATGAACAGAAAGGCTCACGAGGTAGCGGCTGGGGAGCATCGGAAGCAGCATCTTGCGCATTGATCGGGTCCAGCTTTGCAGTCGAACCCACATAAATGAAAGGCAGCTGGCAGAACTGGTCCCCGAACGGCCCATACGAGAATGCAAAGTCGTGGACACTCTGCTGCATCTCAGAAAGGGCGGCCGCCCCAGTGGCATCCAGCAGGTTCTTCACTGCCTTGCAAACACTAGTCTGCCAAAACCAAATGTTTAGAATTGACAACATCTAAATTTGATTGGCAAAATTAAAATGCCAATTCAGTTATCTTTGTCCGACCGGAAACCCTTGTCCTGAAGCTAATCAATGAGCGCAACAGGTAACATTGACCCAAGGCTGGTATTCAATATCAATCTTCTCCCATAATTACTGAAAGTCGAGTCTTTGAACAAACGAACACTCCTGAAACTATACCACCGACCAGCCTGCATCTTCTTCTTGTCGATTCCAATGGATCCCACACCACCAGACTGCTCCATGGCAACCACCTCTGGGTGATCGTTGTACTTGGCGATCAGACCATCTGCGCCAACATCGCTCCCGAGAGATCTCAAGATAGAGACCCATGCCAGTGCGGACACCGGCTGCACCTTCGAGTCCAAATTCTGTTTCACTATTTGGGACACTGCACTGTCCACATCAGAAGACACTCCCACAGATCCTTTCACGAGGGTTGGAATGCGAAGCATTGAAGCTAAAAGACCTTGAACGCTTGGGTGCGTCAACTGGTCGGCATTCCCAGGCAAAGTTGCAGCAAGGTGCAGTGCGATGAACACTGCAAAGCAGGCAAGGGTTTTCTGACTTCCGTCACTGAAGTGCAAACTTCCAAAAGCCAAGTTGTCACGGTAGAAGGCTTCACCAGGCAGCCGCAGAATCACAAGCTCACCCTGACAGGGCCGGGCGCGCAGCAATTAAAGGAGACAAATTAAATGAAGAGTTCATTCACCTAGTGAGGACCCCCAGCTTGTCGCAGGAACCTGTTCAAGGTGAAGTCGGTTCCACACAACCTAAAAACCACCAGCGCAATGACAAATAGTGTCACACTTGGCGCTGTCCGGTAAGCGGGAAATTAAATAATAATGTCAAGAAGAATTGTCCGGTAAGCTGTCCTCCCAATGCCAAGGCAAACAAACCTGAACACCTAGTGGAAGAAAAACTACCACACACACAACCACATCAAACAACCAGCTTGGATGACATGGAACCAAACAGCGTTCCATTGGGATCCCACCAACTTGCCATCTCTCCCTAACCCAGCATTTATGGAGAGGACCTCCCAAAGGTCCTCTCCATAAACCAACTTGTTAACCTATAGCAAAAATGGTTGTAAAGTGAATTGCCGCAAGCAAATTTTTATGAAACCGAAACGTTTAGGGTTTAGGGTTTGATGTTTGGATTTCAAGATGAATGAAATCCAAACATT